GGTTCCCGTCAATTCCGATTTGCAGGGTCTGAGAAAAGCTGGTTTACTCTGGTGTTGAGGTGGGCCTGACCGCACCAAAAGGTCTGGAGCTTTTACGCGTGTGGGCAAGGCAAAGCGTTGAGAATCAATTTGTAACTGCGCATCATCCTGGCCACAAGTCCTAATGAAATACACCACATGAAGTGGAGGTCATATTTTAGAAATCGCACACTCAAGTGAACAGAGCCTCAAGCTGGAAAGTGGATAGATCATGGTGGTGACAGACAAGCCTGGCTTCAATAATGTAATGGCATGCATTGTGCAGCTATGTCTATCAATAGTCAGTATATCCATACACAACTCAGTGAACATGCAAAACTTTGAACTTGAATATAAATTAGATGTCACACCCAAAAAATAGGAACAAAAATGAGCCATTTTATTTCTCAAAAGAGCTGACATGGTACAAGCTTTAATTGGAACAAGGGCCCCATTATGGAAAGTTTTATTTTTTTTATTTATTTTTTTCAGCAAGTGGGTGAAGGACACACCGGTTCGGTAACATAACCGGACATGGGTAGTTTCAGATAATTTAAAGTATTCACGGCTAAGCATAGGATTGCTTAATGTTTTGTTATGGTGCATGTATGTCAGAATGATTTTAATTCAGGTTATATTGTCTAGTTATGGTTAATGTTTGGTTACTGCTGTAACTATCTTTGAGACACCATTGTGGTGGTGTTTACTGTTATGCTTCACACAGACAGCTTTGCATGCTAACAAACTCCCTTTGCACTAGAGTGGATGAAACAAGCCTCTTTTATGCAGAACTCCAAATCCTTCAATTTACTGGCTATTAAGTCATTTTGGTTGTAGTTATTAATTTAATTATTATTCAGAACTTCAGACTAATTTGTTTTATTTTGAGACTGAATCAATTATTGGCTATTTTCCTTAAGGGTAGTTCCCCGAGGAACTTTAATATTAAAGTTGTCTTTGATCAATTTTGATGGCTAAAATTAATTGCAACCAACAGTGTGGTGCCCCTTTAAACCATTACTGCACCGACAAATGGTGCTGCTGTTTACCATAGCCCCTACACAAGTAAATATATTATGTTACAGGTTTAAATGTTTGTGCGTTTTCTTTGTTTTGTTTTGCAGACTCATAATGCATGACTTCTGTTTGGGAGGGGCCTACCCTCCATTTCCTGATTTGTATGGTATTATACGCCATGGCCAACATGGGCCAAACCTAGTGGAGGGACTTCTGTGGATGGTAAATGGTAAATTGACCTGTACTTGTATAGCCTTTCTAGTCTTCCGACCACTCAAACTACGTGCCACATTCACCCTTTCACACACATTGACACAGCGATGGCAAAGCCCATCGAACAGAAACTAATGCATTCATACACATTCACACACACCGATACACGGCATCAGGACTTCGACATGTGGCACCGGGAGCCGGGGATCGAACCAACAACCTTCCGATAAGGGGACGACCCGCTCTGCCTCTGCCTCTGCCACAGCCGCCCTTAGGTGGGGGCTGCTGTAAGCTATAATATTTACCTTCGGACAGCCTTTTACTTTGGTACTGATTGTAGAACTTCCATATCAATCCATAGGATCCATGTATGTTTCTCTAATTTGGGGTTCTGCTGACTCCTGAATTACTCAGCCATTATAAGAACTCACCATGGTTTCAGAAAATGCTACTGTTTGGTCCATATGGGCTACAAGACCAGATTTGTGCCTGTCAACAAATCACCATCACAAGTATCTTTATTCATCTTAGTGTAGTGATAACTAGAATGTATAATTAAAAAAAAGGTACACATATAAACTTCCTTCACAATTTTTCTCAGTAATTTAGTCAAGAGACATAATGTGTTTTTGATTCAACAACTATGGTTGCTTTTAATTTGTCAAAAATGAAAGACATTAAGACATATTCAGTGATTAAAATTATATTAATCTATTTCCTTGAAACAAACTGAGCGAGGCTTTAAATGGACAATGCACTTTAATGATATTGTGTATTGCAACTATCATTGCAACCGTGGCTGTTTGAATAATATAAATAATTGTCAGGTCAAACAGCAGTCAAACACTGTCAGGTGATGAACTGAACAGAAATAAAAAGCTGACACAATTTCAATTAAAGCCCTTATTTGACATGTTTTATGATGAAACCAGCCCCATCTATGACTTTGCCCAAATTAGGTTTTTATTTTTTGACATTTATTTTGGCAGTTTGAAACAATGCACAATCATCTTCCTTCAGTATATTTTTTTTTTTCATCATTTGGCTAAGACATGGCTATTTTTTAATCGTACAAATATGGTTGGTTTTATTTGAT